CACACACACACACACACACACACACACACACAACACACACAACACACACACACACACACACACACACACACAAAACACAAACACTTTACGCCTGTGCCAGGCACTTTCTTTCAATCCACAGTCTGTATTTTTTCTCAGTTCAATACATACGTTGCTCCTGTCTCTACGGATCCGAATATCTGTGGTATATTATATCTGAAACTGCCATCAGCAATTTATTTTTTCTATGAGCATTATACTGTGCTGCCTGTCATGTATCTGTCCCCGTGGTTTTATGCACCCCGCATCATTTTTTGCATAATTTCTGATTAGTTTCCTTTATCATTCATTGTTAAAATTAACAGAACCGCATAATTTCACATTTTTGAGTTTGCATAATTTCAGATTGTTTTTGCATAAAACCACGGGGAAAGATGTATTGCTTACCAGCGTCTGTGGTGCATCGGTGAGGCACTTCGCTGTCGCATGCAAGAGACACAAGTTCCAATCTCGGGTGAGGAGGCTAAAGGAAGAAAGAAAGAGAGAAAAAAAAGAAAGAAAGAAAGAAAAAAAAGAAAGAAAGAAAGAAAGAAAGAAAGAGTGCCAACCTAAGAAACAGCACAAGATTGCGTCCAGGTGATGACGGGGTGGGTAGGGCCGGGGACCTCTTCAGCCAAATCGACCCTGCCCTCGGCTAGCCAGACACTCGGCCCCAGTGACCGATGACCGTAGCTCAAAGAGATCCATTCACTGGCGAGAAAGTCCTTACTTCGGCACTATCTGACCCTTAGTTTGAAACCAGACCACCACCAGACCCTTCCTTCCTTCCTAAAGGATCTGCCCCTCATCGCCCCTCTCCCCCACTCTCCCCTCCCTTTCCAACAACTCAACATCCAATTTCTCTCTCGTATAATTCACTGGTTAGCGGTTGCTCTAGTGTGGCTTGCTTCTTCTTTCCTACCAACCATATATCGTCCGTATCTCCCTTCATACGTTTTATTTGTATGTTACTATGTTACTCTCTAGTAACAACTGTAATCTTCCGCATCTATATGACCTAATTGTGTTGTAAGTGCCGCAAACTCTTACTACATCCCAAAAAATCTAAATTTCCGAAGAATCAAGGGGTTTGTCTCCTTTACGTTTTGGTTCATCCTTCAGTATTTAGTCTACATAACATTGATTCTATTTCTATAAACGCAACTAGTTCCTGTCAGGATAGTTTTATGATTCAGTATTTAGTCTGGAATTTAGATCGATACACTATGGTACCAGTCGATTTTCCCCTTACATTCTGTTATAGTTTTGTGTATGCGCTTATCGGTTTCGTTGATTACGGGCCAACAGTACGTATTCGAGGGCTTTTAGGATTGTGCGGTCACGTTTAAGATACCGAAAGTATTCTACTTTCTCCACTATTACTCGTATATTATTTATAATTTTCGCTGTCTCCAACCAACAATCCCAATTCTTGATTCTATTTTCTTAACCTGTCGTGGTGGTGGTGGTGGTAGTGGCAGTGGCAGTGGTAGTGGTAGTGGTAGTGGTAGTGGTAGTGGTAGTAATAGTAGTAGTAGTAGTAGTAGTAGTAGTAGT